ACACGCACACACACACACACACAAACACACACAAACACACGCACACAAACAAGCAATGCAAGCAAGGCAGCTACGTAGGGTAGACGGTGTCAGTAGTAGTAGTGGCAGTATATTAAATGCAACGATAATGTTGTGCTTGTTGTTGTTGTTGTTGTTGTTGTTGTTGATAATCACGATGATGACGATGTTGATGATTACGAAAAGTATGATGACTGTGATGACTACATATGTGAGCAGCGGCAGCAGAAAAGTAAATCCATAAATAAAAAGTTCGTTGTCCTAAAAAAATAGGATTTGAAATTGTTTTCGTTGCTATTGTTTTTCTTGTTGTTGTTATTGTTGTCACAGTTGTTGTGTGGTTACATGGCAGTTGTTATATTACATTTCCAGCAAAAGAATTTCGATTTTTTTTTCTTCTTTAATTTTTATTTGCTAAGGTTTCGAAGATTTTTGGTTACACTTTGTTCCTATTTTAACTTCTTTGAGGGCAAATTTGGTAATTTCTTTTTCTTTTGTATTCAAACGCTTGCACACGAAATGGTAAGAAATTGTTTCATGCTTATTGTTAACTTGCAAATCTCAAGAATTTAATATTAAACCTTTTCATTTGCGAGAGCTTTCTTCTTCGTATCGTTGACTTTCTTTCCAAGTGTATTTGTATGTGCTTTATATATGTTAGCGATTTTTCTTTATTACTTGTGTGGCGCTGCTATTGTTGTCGCATTTTCTTTTTCCAAGTCAACCTTTTTTTTAATGCTTTATTTTCATTAAGTCAAGGAGTAGAAGTGATGGCGGTGGCGGTGGCGGCAATAACATGGCTGTTGTTATAAGTGACTTCTGTCCTTTTAACGATTTTCTTTTTTGGTTTGATGTCTGACACTAAACTCTTAACACACTTAATAGCCAAGTATGAGAGTATTATGCTGATGACTTTTGGCTTCTGATGACAAAAAGACAAAGAAACACAGCCATACAATCCAGCAGACGACGAGTCTTTAGTAGCAAAAAAGATATTATTTTATTTCTTTTCTTTGCCTTGAATGCATTTGCGACAATGACGTAAATAAATCGTTAAACCGTATATCGGTTTCTTTGCAATTAACAACAACAAACATACGCTTTTATTTTAAATTATTTTTTTTTTTTTTTTTTTTTTTATTTATATTTATTTTTTTTTTTTTTTTTTTTTTGTATTAATTGTCGATTTGTTCATTAACTTTTAAAATTTAATCATTATATTTGTTTTTAATATTATTGTGATAAAAGAATTCACGTGAATTTTCTTGAATTTACATCCTGTTTACTAAAAAATTGTTTGATGTCACGCAAATTTTGATCATAACATTTTCTCTATGTTAAATCTCCCAAGGCCATCTTGCATACGTAACGCTTTACTACACTTTCCTTTGTTATTTTTATTGCAACTGCAGTTGTGATTATTTTTTATTATTTCATATCATACACACCTTTCTAAAGAGAATCTAGTGCATCACTAAATTCACTTGGCCTTCTTTGCTTTAGTTTTGGCTCCCATTGAAAACAATTTTTATTATCTCCATTCTCTTTTGTTTTTTGAATTAAAATTATTTATTAACTTTAATATCTTCTATCGATGTTAATTTTGTGACATTTTCTATTTTAAATGTCGATTTTTGTTTTTTTGTTATTTATTTATTTTTTTTTTTATTATTTTTGTTTTGTTCTTTTAATGTGTCAAAATGTCGGTTAAATAAACCGTTAAATGTATTTAAGTCATGTATTAGGTTACGCGTCCTTGTTTCAACTAACGTTATTTCTCCACTAAAAAGGTTACAAAAGTCCTGGGCTTCAGCTAGTAAACACAAACATTGTGCTAATCATTCATTCAGCAAAAGCTGGAAAAAGCTTTTTCTTCCTCTATTTAAAAGACTCTCTATTTTTGCTATTCATCTGTCAGAGATTGGAAGGATTGCTTCCTTTATCTGAGAATTTAAAGTAAACATTTTTTTTTTTTTAAATTAAATCATATCTTCATTTCATTTGATTGAATTTGAATTTTTAAAATTTTTTCACTCGATTGATTCATGTAAAAATATACTAGAAGCTTACTTCATTTTGAACGTACAGTGCTAACACGATTTATTTTTGCTTAAGTTTAGTCATTAGTCTCTTGATAGCATTTTCATATTGATATCGTAAGTGTTTGGCTACAGGTTTCACATAGAAAAAAAATAAAACCAGCACACAACCAGACCGAACGAATTACGCTACTGAAAATTATTGACAAAATGCATTTAGGTATATTGATTTAATAGACGCTTTTAACTTTCGACAGTAAGGGAGAAAAGGTCGAGCTTTTCCACAAGCGCTTCGAAAAAGACTATTTAAATCAAAGGAACATATGTGGGTTGATTTCTAACTTCTCTAAAACACTAAGAAGTGTCTTCATTTATGAGCATTTCCGAATGAGAGTACGGTAATGTAGGTTTATCAAGGCGATCGTGGAGTATACTCCGTCGTGACGAGAGAGAGTGAGTAGTCCAAAAGGATTCACTCTTTCTGCGAAGAAATTAAAAGTTTGGGGTGATGATCTTAGGCATAAAGCCGGCTGTACAATAATAGACTGTCTCACCTTTTTTGTTTCATTTCATCTTTTAACAAAAAAATCTCGAGGGAAAACATTGGGAAGAAATATTTGAGCACGTTCCTGGCGATTTAATGGTTTGAGGCTAACGGTAAACATTTATAAAAAGATTTATATATTCTAATAAAAAAGCACGTTTTTCTCAGAACAAAATTTTTGAAAACGGTTCAAAAAACAATATTTGTGAAATTTTTGAAGCATAGTAAATAAATGTTTACCTCAAGCCATCTATCTGTTGTTGGGTATTTTCATCGCAGGCGTCCTATTCGAATAAATCCGGGAGGGGTAATGCACACAGTAGAGATGTAAAGCAAACATCGATGCCGTTATATTAAAATGTGTCCTACCACCGCTTTACATATTTCTTGCGTTTGTAATTTTTTTCTTCCTTTTATTTTGTATCATAAAAATTCTGCTTAAGTAAATTTCTGCGTTGTTGTTGTCATACTGGTCGGATGAAATGATTATTCTAATATTGGGTCTTGCTACATTTATCTATTTTCACGACATGATATGTCGACTTCGATTCCTGCCTACAATATGATATTCCAAATCAGATAAGTGCTTAATAAAAGAAACTGAAAAGCTTTTGAATTTGTTTGTCAATGCAAAAGTACTGAGCATTGGTGAGATCAAAGTACGTTTTCATCTATGCGGTTCTTACTATAAATGAGCAACTGTCTCTGCAACTGAGTTTATCGTGGACACTGTCAGCGTCTGTATAGGCTTAACTTCTCGATGCCAAATAGCACAAGACATAATACTAAGCTTTATCCAGCACCTATGAGTGAGTACGACAAGCGCACCGTCCTATCGTGATAAGGCAAAACTCCCCAAAGGACAATTGCCAGCAGTTTCGTACGCTAATAAAAAATGATATTTGTAGGTAAATAAGCCCGCCTCAATCAGTTATGACATAGCCCTATTGGCTAAATATCGATAAAAATATTAGATTATAGAAGTATTATCCCTTATAAGCCCTCAAATTGGTCGAGTTCAAATAATTCATATTTAATTTAAAAAATGTTTCAAAACTTTTAACATCCTTTTTTGGCTTACAAGGAAGATCTTTCGGAAAATAAAATGAATAAATAAATAACTTGCAAAAGATACGAAAAGATTGCTTTCAATCTCTGCCTCTTGCACAACTTTATTCCAATATAAGGAAAGCTTTCTCTTTACAAATATTCAGCGAATTATACATCAGTTGGTCTCTTCCGTTTAGCTTATAACGCCAACACGTGCTGTAAATATGTAGGTTTTTTTTTTTTTTCAAACAAAACAAATAATGATTCTTAAAATTCTGAGTAGAATCAGATGTTTTGTGGAGTTGAAAAATAACTTTTGCAATTATTAGAATACAAGAAACACAGAACTTCTTTAAATGACTTGCGCTCTTTAAATTTTAACTTCGCTTAAAATTATTCTCAAAGTTTATCAACTTTGCCCTTTCAAGTTTTTTTTTAATATATTTATTGTTATTATTATTATTCGTTTTTTTTTTTTTTTTTAATAAATCTTTCATTTGCTTTTTCAACAATTAATTGCATTGCGCTCGAAGCGCTCGGCTCTTCTTTCGCGCTCTCTTTCACTTGGGCTTTCTCTGCCTCTCTCCTTACAATTTCTATTGTACAGACTATAAAATCATTAATTATCAGTTAGCTTAGCTGTGCATGCCACTGTGCTAATGGTTTCACGTATAGATTTATGTCTCTCGCTATTGTTATCAGTTAATGCTTTGTTATTTATCTCATGCATTTGTGTGTATGCGTAAAGTAGGCATTAGAGAATTGACATTGATATCAAAAGTTTAATAGTTTATTATTAAATCGGGTTCTAAAAGAGTTATTGATAGTATTACGAAATACTTGCAAAAAATGTTTTTTTTTTTTTTTAATTATTTTTATTATTGAAGCAATATTTTAGTTGACTAATAGCCAACGATTGTGTTTTCAAGCATATTAAGACAACAGTATATTGAAATTTTTTGTAATGATTGTATGCCTTGTACCTGAATACAGTTTCAATTGGATAGCCCTATATAAACACACACAACGTTTTTGCACAATGCAAAACAGTTCAGAAATGATTCCCGGAATCCCACGTTAGCTAGTTCTGGCGACAAAAAAATTAAAGCTTTTATGGTGCTAATAGCTTTTTCCGGACAGTCGGACAGTGAAATAGGTGCGTCCTCTTCAAGATTGTGAAAACTAAAGTGGTTTGCTACCAATATTTTGGTGTAAAAGTGGATCGTAAAGGTACATCGTATTTTTTGAAGAGAAAATGAATTAATTCTTCTGATTAGACCGTTGAAGTAAGTCACTGTAGCGGAGAAGCAGGATGGCCGGTTCATCAGTTGAGCAATATATATAACAAAAAATCACATTAAATTGCTTTTATGATCAGTGATTGATCACAATTTCAGAATATACTCCGAAGCTAAGTTGCTTATGCTGTACCGTGAGTGTTTGAGCTTTTTTAATCTATTTGACAAACGTTTTTTTCTTTTCCTCGGTTTCATTAAATTCAAATATTGTTCACAGAATTTACTCGTTTACCTCTTTTCTGCAAGGAGTATTTGAAATTTCCGATAAAACGATATTCTGCAACTCAATCTAATCGAATATTTAGACAGCGTCACCATTTAATGCTTATTTATTAAATTTCCTATTAGAAGATCAATCGAAATGGCTTTTTGAACGAATCTATAAAGACACGTAATAATATGTACAACTTTTGCGTTTCTATCGGATCGTGACGTTTGTGCCTTCTCATGTAACTATTCTTATAAAAATACCTTATAGGCCTATACCTATTTCGAATTCTCTTTCAACAAAAGCGAATATTCAATAATAAACTTATATACCGAAAAACATTCTAATTATTAATATATTATGGTACAAATGAGTGAAACATAACCCAATTGAAATTTATATTTGAATGCATACAGGGGGAGTGAGCAGTAAGCTCTTAAGAAAAAGATTAATTTCAACAAATTTGGAGCTCGTCACTTCGGACTATGTCCCTGCTTCCATACCAAAGTTGCCTATGAAAATTAAAAATTTGATTTTATGACGAAAATAAGTGGATTGTATTGTAATTACTCTCTTAATACCATATTGCTATCATTATATTCCTATTACCCTGCCCTTTGACTTTCGCTTGCAGAAAGAAATACAAGGCAGAGAAAAATTACGCAAGCGACAAAAAAGTGTATTTGATTTCCTTATTGTATGCACTTATCAATATTTTCCTTATGTGAACGAAATTTGTGCAGAAAAGATATTTTAATGCCGATAGAACGCATTCAACACCTATATATTGAAAACACCTAATCCGTTATGGAGAAAGTGGTTTTTGCGAATCAACTTCGTTTCAAACAAACTTCGTTTCAACTATTAGTGGAATATAAAAAACTGTAAAGCTTTTATCGCTGAACTTTTTCTTTTGTTAGTTTCAGGTCAGGTTGTTTGCTAGTTACGTTTAAAGCAACTTAACTGTTTGAAAGCATATAGGACTTAAACAGGGAAAAAAGTTTCGACTTATAAAGACTAATATGGCTCACTTATGCAACATACAAGGGCAATATATTGCAAGCAGTTACCTTCAATAATTTCAATAAATTGAGATTAACTAATAAATAAGTGCACTTACTACGTTGATAATGCTGATGACTTTTAGATGTGTCTACTATCTGTTTTTAGAGTACATGTGAAATCAGTCCAAAGCAAACGATAATTTACTTTTAAAAGCAATAATATAAATTTGAATATTAATATCTTTCAGTATTTTCGCTCAACAATAGCAAGGAATGCGATGTATTTACATATCGTTATACTCGACCGCAAATCAAAATTACGTGCTTCTGTAACATATTATTCCAGTGACTGGCATTACAATGGCGTAGAGTTTTATTTTTTATTCTTTGGTTACAACATTAAGTAACAGCAGCAACAAAAAAAAAAAAAAAAAACAACAACAACAACAACAACAACAACAACAACAATAGGAAGAAAAAAGCATAAATTATTCAAAACCAAAAATCATTGCCTAAGATTGATTGTTGTACTATCCTTATATTCAATTTAGTATCGTGCAACCAACGCTATTATGCTTAACGTCTAGTTGTTCCTGAACGCACAATCACATTTTCACAAAACCTCATTTCAATATTCAATAACTAACCATGTATGTCAAGCGTCTTCAACTTGTGGTTTATAGGATAAATATGCTCTGTAGCGGTTTGTGTATATGATTGTATTAAAATATTACACATACACTTATACTATGGACGTATACTATGTACAGTTAATCGCAATCTAAAACGTCGATAGAAAGGAAACAAAAGAATGATAAGATTGGTGTGGGAATCGCGGGTGATAGCAACGTGCTGTGTAGACTGTGTTAGGCTGTGTGATGCATTGAAATCGTCATAAAGAGAGTGTTACAAATTACCTTGATTGATGATTGGCATACTGAAGAGTAAGTGACGAGCTAAAGTAACCGTTTGCATAATAGTGCAACAGCGCCCGCGTTTCACCATCTGTTACTTGATCTGCTTACTCAACTCTGCGTATACGCTTTTCTTTACGCTTATGGGCGGAAGCATTGCATTTAAATCATTAATAAAATGTCATAGTTTCACTGTTGAAAACCCACTCAACTAAGCAATTTTTTACCGATATTTATGTACAGTCGTAAAGGGGATGGGCTCCTACTACTCCTACTCGTTCTCATTCTTTTTCTGCAACGATTGGTAATTTTATGATGTCATATGAAAGTTAGGATGCCTGTTCAGTGAGTTTCATTTTAATTTTAAAAATTTGCAGTTAAAAAACGAAATTGAAATAACAAAATTAGTTAGCGAGCTTCGGCCTTAATCTTAAGTCTTTAGATCGCGACGCCAGCAATAATGGCATATGAAATGTGTTCGCGTTATATATATGTATATGCGAGGTTTTGCGAGTATGTGATGTCAAGCGAAGCTTATGCGTGTAAAAAGCATTTGAAATAATTTAACATAACTCATCTCACACGCCTTGAAGATTGCTTTGAATATGCATTTTTTTGCAAGAGTGCATTTTAACACTTCAAGTGTTGAAAAGTTTTAAAATTTTCTCTATTGCCATATTTAGCATACGCGAGCACATACAAGCGCATATATCTATATGTAAAATATATGTACATGTATATATATATATATATATATATATATATATATATATATATATATATGTAATTCCGTGTCTCATGCACTGTATGTATCATATATTTGCATAAATTCTTTTTAATAAAATTTTGAAGTCTTAACAAAACCGTTAGGGAGCAAAAGAAGAAAAGCTTATACGCAAACATTAACAATTACAACGGCACTGACGACGATCACACACCCACATACCCATGCATACGTTCATAGTTACCGCGCATAGTATAGCGAAAGAACGACAACAAATTCGAAGAAGACGAAATGCTTAATTTTCAACCTCACGCTGAACCCACTTAAAAGACTTTTGACTCTCTTCTTTGCAGATATAGCCCGGCTGTGTGCAATCTTTGCCAAAGTAAAGAGTTTAGCGTCATTGTTGTACGTCTGCATGCATTGTGTAGTTTGTGTGTGGTTGCGAGGAAAAAAAATCCTTCACAGAGAACCATGAGTTTGACACTTGTTTAAAGTATTTAATTTATGTATTAACAAAAGGCGTCTTGCCTGTAGGCTTTACGCCTTCAACACACTGCTATTACACACAAACACCAACAAAAGTATTTAACAGCAATTCGTGTGCGCTCTCATGGGTACTAAGTAAAGAAAACAGAAATTGTTATAATTCACTCCTGCCGCTGTTGCTTGTGCTGCTATTGTCACTGCGGCGACTACAGGGGAGAACGAGGAACTCTTGCTTTCAAACAATTTCATGTCAACACATAGCGTTGCATGTGTGTTTTGTGGTTGTGTTGGGATAGAGAAGAAAGTTTTTGTCTCCAATATCGAAAATATCAAACCGACGCCAACCGTTGCCCAGAGGTTGTATTACTTCTGACGTCATCACTACCGCTGTCATAAGTTGTAAATTTCACACCATGCATTAAACCGCAAAATATGTACTTAAAGGAAAAAAAATTAATAATAATAATAGTAATAAAAAACCTAAAAAAAAAAGAGGGAGCATACAGCACTAAACTATTAGAAAAAATGAAGGTCTGAACTTCTCGATAATATTCTCAGAGAAAAAAAGCACTAAAGTTTTCCTACACGGCTATCATCTGGCATAGCTTAAGTAAAAGCACAAGTACAGAATTAATGTTTAGTTCATGGTGTAAATATTGATTTTATGATGATGACGATAGCAGCAGTATTATCTGTATGATGACACGCTTCTGTTAATACAAAATTACATATCATTGAAACTTGCTTGAAGGATTTCCAACTTACTTAGTTCTGATACTTCTTACGCTAATATTGGTTACTGAAAGAATTGCGAAAAATCTTTACTTGTCTAAACTAACTTAAGGAATAAGGTGTAAAATAATTAAAAATAACATAATGCAAACATTTAATTTTAATCTATTTTGACTATAAAGGGGTTACAACGCAATAACGCACAATTGATGTGCTCCAAGATTCGCGAATGAAATTCCGTTTCCTTTATTAAACTACTTACGCTGTATCGGATAGATAAAAGCCTTAAAGCTATTGATGTAATTCACTTTTTATACTCACCATTATTGAAGTTTAGGAATATGTTCGTTTTTTTAAAACGTTTCTAACATGCAGAAGGAAGCCTCGCAAACTCTATAAGGTCTATATGTTTTGAATTGCAAAGATTAAGATATTGGCTCCAAATCTGGCAAAACCATTGAGAGCTCATTTTTGAAATTAGTCAAATCCTTAAAAGAACAAGCCGACAATACAATTCAAACTGAGAACAGCTCTGCTTTTTTTCCGGTTTATTTGCTCATATGTTCTATGAATGATCCTATTTTGCAACCAGAAAAATGGAGAAACTTCTCCGTCGCTGCGCAATGTTAAGAATAATAATATTAATATTTCGTCTTCTCCTCTTTTTCGTTTTTTGTTTATTAACCATTTGAGTACCAAGTAGCGCAATCGCGCTATTTAGGTTTGATGTCGAGAAATACCAAGCATACCAAACATTATAGTCGATTGTGGTCTAATCTTGTATTTAATTTTATCTTAAAAAAAAAAATAAATAAATAAATAAAATTAACCGTTTGGAGTACCAGACGGTTTTGAAAAAACACTGTCGAAAAATCCCAAGCAGTGCCATAGCGTTTGTTTAATTTTATGTATTTAAATGCATTTAAATTGTTTGTTAATAAATATTTCAAGTTTGTTCCACAAAAATTATAGAAAACACAACACCAAAATATAAATTTTTATTTTGTAATATATTATTGCACTACTATAGTACTATTGTAATTGTATTGCCCTCGACTCGAAA